TAACATTATAACATGATATAAAACTCAAAAAAGTTGATTTTACATGATATTTCCCCTTTAAAATCTTTCTTTAAAAAAAAACCAAAACAATTATAGAATGTTAAMAGGTTCATATATTAAAGTGAGCCTTTAAATCTTAGATGTTTCATATGAAGGCAATGAGCACATGTTTGTGGGGATGCTGTAGGTCGCTGGTAATCCTGAGGCTGCAGGTTTGAATCCAGGTTGCCTCTATGTGAGCTCAGCTCACCTGCTGTTGGATCATCTGATGATGAGRGGGCTCAGTCGTGAGCTTTCAGAAGACAAACTTGACTAAATTTCTCTTTTTTTTAACCGCCCATGGCTTTGTCTTTATAACACAAGGCCAACAAAAAGTCTGTGTGTTGTTGAGAAATGATGTAAATCACCTGAACTGATCTCTTCTGAACGTGGATCTGGGTGACGGTGGACTGAGAGGATGAAGAGGAGAACTCCTGGCTCTCAAACTGTCTCTTCACGGTGGCCAGACCACCCGGCAGCGAGCAGGTCTCTGACTCGTCCATCACCTGTCAGCAACAACACACAACAGAAAGTGAAACGTCCATTTACAAAAACAGTTAAACAGATTTAATTTAATTTTTTTTAATCTGATCTCTGTTAAATTTCATTTTGGTTTAGTTGGAAGCGTGCACACAATGATTACTTTCTGACCTTTCATTCAAATCTGTCCAGTGGTTCAGATGACATTTTACTAACAGGATTGACACCAAAAGTGATTTGATCTTTTCTACAAACATGAACGAAACATCTAGAAGTGGAAATGTGATTCAGAAGATTCCTCAGTTAAGATTCGGTCAACTTTTTCAAGTTTTATTATATATTTAGAATTTTTTTCTTTTTTTTTTTTTGCCTAAAGCTGGGAATTATAAAAAGATGATTTCTTTGTGAGAATATTATTAAAGGATGAGTGGGAAAAAGGGACTTTCTCCACTTTAATCAGTATGGAGGGAGCGGAGTGTGCTTGACGAGACTTGGGRGAGAATGCGCTTCATTTCATACAATAATCTCCTTTTGTGCTTCTCAATTACAATGCTAATGAAAGATTTATATGTAGGATTCTGCTTGAAGAAACGTTCCAAATATATGAAAATATGAAAGTCAGTGAGTGCTGTGTGCACATGTGTACTAATACAGTATGTATATGTGTTTGTTTAATACCTTCTGCTTTATATGGAAATAAAAACATGACATAATTCTGTGACTTACTGTAGACCAGTGAGTTAGCAACATTTTACAGCTTCAAAAAGAGCTTCAGTCGTGACTACTCACTGTCCACCTGAGCAGCTTAGAGACATGAAGGACCAGCAGCCATTTTCTCACAGAGACTGTGAGAAAATATACTCTATCTTCTCTATCTATCTATCTATCTATCTATCTATCTATCTATCTATCTATCT